AAGCAAATTCGGAAGTTTTCACCCGACCCTCCCTCCCTTTCTCTAGGTTGTGAGCTACGATAATTTCTAAGTAATTATGATGGTGTGGGCGTTTTTTTATCACCCCACCTTTTCTGTGCTGTACTTAAATACGAACATTGTAACAATTAGCTATAATTTGTTACTTTTGGTTGAATTAAATCGGCATGTGCTCCGGCACATTGCCATTATTTTATCCAAAAAGTGTCATTGTTTATTGCAGTTGCATGCCTTTAATTTGCCCAGAAAACAGAGCTCACCAGTCTCGTAAACCGCCGGCACTTCCTATAGGGTTCGTAGTTGAAACGGAAGCGATAAAATTATTTTCCCCCTGGACAATTGCTAGGAATAAACAAATTTCTCGTTGTCATTTTAATTTTTTTACACAACTTGCAATTCTTCTCTATAAAACTTCCCCTTTATTACCTCGTTATTTAAGTCGGTAATTTCATATGTTATGGGATCAGTGACAAAAACTTTACTAATTTTAAAAATTTCCCCTTTCCATCTTTGCAAACTGGATTTTTCAAACACTGAATTTTTCGCACGTGCAATTCTAACTTTTTGTCCTTTTTTTAAAAAAGAATGAATAATGGAGGGATTTTTAAAAATCTTTAATAATCTTTTTTCAATCGGTATTTTTTTTCTATCAAAATATATATCATAAGGAGAATTATTAAAAAGTGCTTTATGGGGAGAATCATTGTATCTTTGAACAACCACATGAATATATTTTGAATAATTAAAATTATTAGTGACAGAAATAACACGTCTAACCATTGTCTTCAATGTTTGGATAACACGCTCAACATGCGATGCTTTAATTTCACGATTAAAAGTATAAAATAATTCGAAATTATACTTTTTACTTAATTCCTTTCTAATTTTTTCAAACTCAGTTCCCTCATCGCTTTGAATTTTCTCAGGAATTTCTCCGCTATGATGTAACATTTCTTCACATTTCTTCCCAACATTGTTACTACTTTTATTCTTCAACAATTTCAAAAAAACGTATCGAGAATAAACATCAATACAAACTAACCAATATTTATAACCATAATTATATCTTGCTAAATCATTCATTTCAGCTAAATCTATTGACCATTGTTTATTTCTAGCATTAACATCTATTTTTAATCGTTTATACGACTTTTGTGTTTTTTCATGCAATCTATATTTTTGTAAGTCATCACTACTTAATGTCTCCCCTTTCAATAATCGAGATGCTTTCTTTATTAAATCAATGTCAAAACTCTTACTTCCTTTTTTTTCGCTGGCATTACTTCTTACAATCTAAAAAACAATCATACCGAATTAAAAATCGCATCAATACGATCTCCTAACACCTGTTCATGTCGAACAAAAAAAACGTTTAAATAATCAACACCAGCATACATGATAGATTTTTGCAGATCATCTGAACTGCACCCGCATGCAATAGACAAAGAATCTGAATATTTTATAACTTCATCAACAACGTCTTGTTGGATACTTCATTTTACATTTGTATAACAGATCCGGAAGTCACGTGATAGAGCATGACTCGTGACACATGTGTGAAATATTGGGACCGAAGCGATTTATATCTGCGGATTTCTGTGAGATTTTTGTGATTAAAATTTGTTTTAGAACTATCTAAAACCAGTCGATTTCAAACGTTTTCTACATTTGGCGACCCCGGCAGGATATAACGTGATTTTAGCTCGAACAAGAGCAAGAACCAAGGGGAAATCGACCGGTTTTTTTGAGTACTACAATAACAACAATAAGCATGGAAACAGCGAAGCAAGATCTAGCGACAAAGCTGACACAACTACGGATAACGAGAGATAAAACGAAAGAAATTGGATCAAGTGGAATGAAAAGTCGCATCGAGCGACAGAAGAATACATTGCAAGCGCTGGGAAATGCGGCTGAAAAGGCGAGAACAACACTCGAAGAAATCATGATCGCCGGGGGGGAGAAAATCGAGGACATTACAACATGGAACAAGGACGTGGAGGGCAAGATTGCAGTTGTCGATGAGGACATTGCTTATTTGTCAAATTGTTTAGATAAGGTTGAACAAGCAGAAATTGAGAAGGGTCAAAAACAACAAATTGAGTTTGAGCGAGAGCTTTTCGAACAGAAACTTCAACTCAAAGAGATGGAATTAAAGAAGACGGCCCCCCTGGAAAACCCAAGTACCGAGAAAGCCTTAACTGCAAAGCTTCCAAAGCTCAGCATTACTAAATTCAATGGAGAGTACATTGATTGGAACAGGTTTTGGAACCAATTCACTGAAGAGATTGACAAATCAGGTATGGCCCCCATTACTAAATTCTCTTACTTGAAAGAATTTATTGAACCGAGGGTGCGGAAGAGTATTGACGGGTTACCATTCACAGTCGAAGGCTATAATAGGGCAAAATCTATTCTTGAAGAGCGATATGGCAAGGAGAGTGAAATAGTAAAAGCTTATGTGAAGGATATTATTGATCTACCAACTGTCAGGGGGACTGACCCTGTACAAGTCCACCAGTTTTATGAACGGTTGGTGTATGATGTGCAATCCCTAGAGACAATGGGTAAACTAGAACGTGTGAATGGAAACGTACCACTTACTCTGGACAAATTGTTGGGCATTCGGAGTGATCTTGTCAGCCATGATGAAGAGTGGCAAGAGTGGGATTTTGTAAGGCTTTGTGAGGCACTACGGTCCTGGACACGTAGAAATCCCATAGAGAAAGAGGACAAGTATCGAAAGCGTAATACCAAAGCTTACAATACACAACACCGTGAAGTGAGGGGGTGTGTCTACTGTGGGGAGCCTTCGCACAAGGGAATTCAATGTCAGCGGTTTACATCACCACAAGAAAGAAAGAAGATCTTAGCAGAGAAAAGGCTATGTTTTAATTGTACGGGGCCAAGGCATAGGGCATCTGACTGTAAGAGTACTACTGGTTGTCAATTGTGTTCCAAGCGTCACCATACTTCTATTTGTGAAACAAAGAAACCGGACGGTGAGAATATGATGTCCACATGTGATGGTGACAAAGTTATTCACCCATAGTTGTGATAAAAGTGGACGGTGTTGAGTGTCGTGCCTTGGTAGACTCCGGAGCTGCGAGTTGTTATGCCTCATCAAAGTTGCTTGATTCATTGGGAAAGAAACCAACAGAAGTGAAATACAAGAAAGTGGAAATGCTCATGGCCTCAACCACAACAAGAATGGAGATACACAATTCAACTATCTCATCTAAATCAGGGGATTATGAGTTAGAGGTTGATCTAATCAAAGTTAATAAAGGTACACTGCTCGAAGTAGAGAACCCACAGTACAAGGATCTTATTGAGTCATATTCTCATTTGAAAGGTGTGAAAATGGATGACTATGACACTAAACCCTATCTACCAGTGCATGTAATACTGGGAGCCGGGGTTTTCGCAAAGATAAAGACAGATTCCAGACCTCGGATCGGGACGCAAGGTGACCCAGTTGCAGACATACCAAACTTGGGTGGTTTATTCTCTCACAGGCGAAGAATCGGTTACTTCCCGGGTGCTTCTGACCCAAACCAGCCATGTTGAATATGATGAGTTGTGCCGACTTGATGTTTTGGGACTAGCTGATTCCCACAGCAAGACCAGAAGGAAGTGTATGCTGAGTTCCGAGAGCAGCTGACCCGCAGCGAGGCAGGTTGGTATGAAACCGGGCTCCCGTGGAGGGGTAACCATCCTCCCCTACCAACTAATGAACAGGGTAGCTTGTGTCGTTGCGAAACCTGAAGCGAAAGTTGCAGAAATCTGGGCTGGATGAAGCGTATACCATGAAGATCGAAGAGCAGAAATCGGAAGGGGTCGTAGAACCAGCAAATGATCAAGCGAAAGGAGTGGAATTCTACATACCGCATAAACCCGTTGTAAAAGAGAATGCTGAGACAACCAAGCTCCGCATAGTGTACGATGCCAGCGCAAAAGCCCATCCAGATGCTGTCTCACTCAATGATTGTTTGAATCCTGGTCCTGTGTTGCAAATAACATGTGGAATGTTCTGGTCAGGTCGAGAGCTCATCGGTAGCAGTCAATGGAGATCTAAAGAAAGCATTCTTGCAAGTGCGGGTGAAAGAAGAGGACCGGGATGCCTTGAGGTTCCACTGGCAACCGGGAGAACATTCAGAACTTGAGACATTACGATTTACACGAGTTATGTTTGGGTTAACATCATCACCCTTCTTATTGGGCGGGGTGATCGAACAGCATCTAGACAATTGGGAATCTCGTAAGCCAGAGGCTGTTGCAGAGTTGCGCAAGAGTCTTTACGTAGATGACCTCTTGAGTGGTGGAGCTACAGTGGAAAAGGCCCAGGAAGTCAAGCAGCAAGCAGTTGAGATTATGGAGGACGCTACATTTACTTTACATAAATGGCATTCGAATGAAGCTGAACTTGAGGACAATCCAGATTTGTCGGCCAGTGAGGAAGAAACGTTTGCCAAGCAACAATTGGGAACGCCTAACGGTGCGGAGTCGGGTTTGTTGGGTCTTGGCTGGAACAAGAAACGTGACGAGATAAGCATATCATTTCCTGAGGAGAAAGTCGAAGAAACGAACGTGGCGTGTTGGGCAAGCTTGCGAGCATATATGACCCCCTCGGACTCGTTTCCCCCCTTACCTTAGAAGGAAAACTGGTGTTCCGAGCCATTTGTGACCAGAAGCTTGGCTGGGACAAGCAGTTGCCGACCGAATTGAAACGTGCTTGGAAAAGGTGGGAACGACGGCTTCCCCTGCGAATTAATGTGCCAAGATCCTTGGCAGCATTCAAGGAATCGATTCAGTACATTCAGTTGCACGGTTTTGGCCATGCGAGTGGTGACGGCGTAGGAGCGACAGCGTTTGCAGTTGTAAGTCAAGAATCAGGGACTACACAACGACTCATCGCAGCCAAAGCGAGGTTGGCGAAGAAGGGGCTTACTATCCCCCGATTAGAATTGGTGGCAGCGCATATGGTGACAAACCTCCTTACCAATGTCAAGGATGCCCTGAAGGGTTTCCCTGTTACAGATATTTGTGGGTGGACGGACAGCTTGGTGGTTCTTCACTGGATAAGAGGTGCTGGTCAATACAAGCAGTTTGTTGAGAATCGCGTCAGGAAAATTCAAGCAAAATCAGAGATCAAATGGAGACACGTTCCTACGGAGGAAAACCCGGCGGATCTGGCGAGCAGGGGTGGTGATGTTCAACACAAGGAACTGTGGTGGAATGGCCCTGAGTGGATGGCCAAGCCCGAAGTATGGCCACGAGATATCGTTAGTCAGTCATCTGCAGAGAGCCAAGCAGAAGCAAGAGTAACCAGGGAGATTTTCGCAGTAGCTACAGAAACCAACCCAGACCAGCTAGATCTTATCCTTAAGGATCACGAACTGACTAAGGCAGTACGAGTAATTGCATGGATTGCGAGATTCATTTACAACTGCCGAAATCCCGACAACGTCATCCGAGGTCCACTAACTACTGATGAGCTAATGGCCCAGCATGAATTTTGGATCAAACGAGCGCAGCAAAGCAGCGACAACGAGGAAGATCGCCTACGACTTAACGTTCAACCAAATGAACAGGGGATTCTGCAGTGTCGAGGTCGTGTTCAAGGCGAATACCCGATTTATCTCCCAGATACTCATCCTTACACAAAGAAGTTGGTGCAACGAGAGCATTTGCGAACTCTTCATGGGGGAGTCCAGCTGACAATGACGAGCGTGAGAAAGGATTATTGGGTTCCGCGTTTGCGGAGACTTGTAAAAGGAACGGTGAAAGAATGCCATGGATGCCGAAGATTCCGAGCCCGAGCTGTGGCGGATCCCCCTCCTGGTAACTTGCCTGAAGATCGTACACAAGGGACATACCCATTCCAAGTTATTGGTGTAGATTACTGGGCCAATCCGTTATAAGAAACGAGCGAAAGTCGAAGGGAAAGCCTATATAGCTGTATACACCTGTTCTTTGTGTTGTGCGGTGTATCTAGATTTGATGGCATCTCTCGAAACACAAGAGTTTTTGTTGAGCCTAAAGAGATTCATTGCGAGGAAAGGGCGACCGAAAAAAATATACTCTGACAACGGGTCCACATTTGTTGGAACGGCGAATTGGCTAAAGAAGGTGAACAACGATGAGAAATTCAATCAATACCTGGCAGATAACAAGATCGTCTGGCAGTTCAATCTGAGTCGCGCCCCTTGGTGGGGCGGACAGTTTGAGCGGATGGTTGGCCTCGTAAAGAATGCTCTACACAAAACCATTGGAAACGGTCTTCTATCCTGGAAAGAGCTCGAGGAGGTGTTGCTCGATATAGAAGTGTGTCTGAACGATAGACCATTGAGCTATGTGGAAGAAGATCTCCAATTTCCCATTCTCACACCGAATACCTTGATATTCCATCAAACCAATACCATACCAGAAGCACAACCACATCATTGCGAAGAGTTCGACCTAAGGAAGAGAGCGAAATACCTACGGAAATGCAAGGACGCGATGTGGAAGCGATGGTCGAATGAATACGTACGTGGTTTACGAGAGAGACATAACCTTATCCATAAAGTCAAGCAGTCCAAGTTATCAGTCGGAGATGTAGTGATTATAAAGAGTGATGAGAAGAATCGGGGAAAGTGGCCATTGGGAATTGTCACAGAGCTATTTCCAGGTCGAGACGGCGTGGTGCGGGCAGTTCGATTACGTGCTGGCAAAGGGTTTCTCAAGAGGCCAATTCAACACCTATATCCACTCGAATTGTCCGTCGACAGATCGAAGACGTCTCCACCCTGTGACTTGAACGCAAACGCGAGAGAATTCAGACCAAAGAGGCGAGGGGCAATCGTAGCTCGAGAGAGAATACGACAGGCGATGCAAGATGAAGAAGAGGACGAACTTTAAGCTCGAACTTTAGATACAATAGGGGTACTCATATCGAGCATGGACTCACATGTTAGAACAGTAGTTGTTTATGTTAACGATTTCAAATAGGGAAGTATCCTTAATAGGACATAAACCATTTCATAATTTATGAGGGGAGTGTGTCGGATACTTCATTTTACATTTGTATAACAGATCCGGAAGTCACGTGATAGAGCATGACTCGTGACACATGTGTGAAATATTGGGACCGAAGCGATTTATATCTGCGGATTTCTGTGAGATTTTTGTGATTAAAGTTTGTTTTAGAACTATCTAAAACCAGTCGATTTCAAACGTTTTCTACAGTCTTTTTCCCCATGCAATTTCATTCCCGCTAAAATAACACTATTAATAAAGTTATAATCTTTTTCAACCTCGCTAACACAATCATCATCATCATCTTGTTCATTTTCCTCCTCCTCGTCAAGAGCTGCAACTTTATGCTTTCGTTTTCGTGGCGCTGTTTCCTTTGCTTCTTTATGCTGAATGTACTTTGATAAAGCCTTCACAATCACCCCTTTTTTCGTTGATAATCCGAAATAAAATTTCTCAAACGCATCTTTCCATTCAACCGATGGTGGTGGTAGCGGCGGTGTTGTAACAACCATTTCCTCACCATCATCTTCCCTAGTTTCACTATCGACATCAATAACACGGTTTTTCCTGATGGAATCAGCAGCATATTGCATAATTAAGTAGTACCCAAAGTTGTCATTTTGAACAATAAGTCGTTTCTTTTTTCCACGATCAACAAACTCCTTGATCAATTTATCAGCAACAGATCCATTTTTTAAAGATAGATCAGTTGATCCGTGTTGCAACCACTTTCGTATTTCTTTTAATTGCGAAAGTGAAACAGTGAAACAGCAACATGTGCATGAGGATACAGTCGAAACTGTTTACAATCAGTATCGCAACTATAAGGAAAAACTTTTGCTAAGAAATAAGAACCTCAGAAGGAATCATGATACACAACTTTCCGATCATTTTGTCGACCAAAAGACGTTAGATAATGCAACTCATCAATAGCATTATCCTTAACAAAAACATCAGGCTTCTGAATTAATTCCATCTTAAAAGCTTAAAGCAATATATAAGACTAAACAACAAAACAAGCATAAAGGCAACACGAATGACAACATCAAATGATTCACTCCGTTTTACACCCGATAAAATATAACCAATTCGATTGGTTATCTCTTCTTTTTTGTGTTTGCACGAAAAAATAAAATACCCAACTTTTGTAATAATAAATTTACAAAATGCTAAAAAAGTAAATAAACGAGAAAGATTTGTCACGGAAATTTCTTAAAAAATACAAAATCAACTGTTTTAAAGTTGCATGCGGAAAAAAAAGTCTCAAATAATTCAAGATGATTGATATAAATTTTTTCAATTTGTTTCAATTGAATTTTTGAGAAATTAATCGAAGACCGCCAATTGCTGCAATAACTTAAACTCATTTTTTTTTCAAATTAAAAATTTCTCGATTTGCATATATCTTGTATGCTCCTAGGTCGCCCAGAACTGTGTAGTAATGTTTAAATAAATTTCTCTGCAATAAAATACTTTTAAAATAGTTTCTCGTTTGTGTATTTCCTGTTTGTGTAATGAGTATTACTTAGTCTCCGACTGCATTGATTACGCGCGGTTATTGTGACACGTCGTGTTTACATCATGTACATATATATACCTAAGGTAGGCAACTAAATACCTAAATTATGCACGTAGCTCCGAAGAAATTGTTCAAAAACTTTTAAAATACACAATGAAATATGAAATAAACAGGATAAAAGTAAGCTCCGATAATTTTACTAAACTACCGCTAACTTTTTTTCTCGAAAACGGCACTGAAAATAATGAAAAATCGGCAAAGTTTTTCATTATTTTGTTGAGTTTTTCGCTGTGACTATGCGTGGTACAGTTCACCTGAAATTTACATCAAACTGGGAAAAATCCAAATCAGGGGGGTGTTAAGACGTTTTTCTACATCTGGCCAGCCTGGTCAAAGAAAGCTATATAGTCATTTATGCCCGGTAGTAAAGCTATTTTCGTTTCGTTGATGCGCAAAGGAAACAAACAGTCATGTAATTAATTAAAACGTCTACAATTAAAAAACCCAAGAATTCGTAGCATCTTATATCTAAACTATGTAAATGTGGAGGAAATAGATGACCTCAGTAAGTATAAAAATCTGTTTCGATTCATGATTTTACGGATAAACAAATACTTTATATGGCATAGTATTTTTTGAAAACATTAGTTTCCCAGTGGAAATGCAGCAAGTAGAAAACAAAAGCCCGGTTGTGGATCTTCACGGACTAATTTATATGTGGTAAGTAAAATCATAAAATGATCTTTTGCATTTGACTATTGTATATTCTACAAAACCTTTCTTTTTTATGTTTAATTTCTGTTTTGTGCTTCTTGCTCGGCTTGCATATACTGTATATATAGTCGCCGCCATTATCGTTGTTTTTAAACATAAGTCATAATTTGTGCCACTGATAAACTTATACAATGTCGTAAAAAATGCACAACTCAATTAAAGTGAATGAAAACATAATTTTGGTTGTATAATTTTGGTCGTATAACTTTGGTATAATAATTTCTTATCAGCTTATATTAACTTGTAAATACTGAGCGCTTTAAAATTAAATCAGAACTCACAATAATTGACCTATTAATAAAAGCAGTAGCTATAAGCTGGATGAGCAAGGCGAGGCAAGGACAAATGCCACGTGGCTGTTCTATAGTCATTTTTGATGACAAAAACGTGAAAATATTCCTCATGATTTGCCGTTTAAGATATAAAACATTCAAAGGTGAGTGATTATTTATAGTCGTTGATAATAATCCCCCCTCCCCCCCCGCAAAATGAATACAATTCACAAGAAAATATACTTTTTATAGCTAACCTTTTATGAACTTGCGATGATAACAAAGTCCCTGTTCGCTTTTCCATTTCTTTGTATAAGAAGACAAACAGGAAAGATCTGATATAGCTACCAGAGGTCCAATGTATAAGAGATCAAAACCATGAAATATAATGGTATATGAATGTTCGTCCAATTTTCCATAATAAAATAAGTTTTTTCCACTTTTAATACGTATACACGCGTACAACCAGCCAAATTAAGCGTCTTCTTTGCAACTGAATCGTGGAGGCTACCTTGAAAAAGATCAGTTGAATGTTGACTCGTATGGGAAAAACAAGAAAACATTTTCATGCACCTGAATAGTATATTAAAACTTGTTCTTCATTGTTGACCCTGGGGTCAACGCCATCATGCATGTTTTTCACTGAAAAAAAAACAAGACAGCTAAAATATTATTCCACTTTGTCGAAATTGACATGAAGAACCTTACTGACTTTGAAATAGCAAGGATAAAACGATCAAAACCCCCAAAAAAATCAAATTGTTGAGTATATACATACTGTATAATTATAAACTTGCATCAAATGCATCGTGATATTTGCATCGTTCGAACTGGAATACTTTTTGAACATGAAGTAAATTTCAGAAACATGAAAAATAAACTTTATGCTATGCCTAAAAAAGACTGAAACAACTCCTGTTGAATATTCTTACCTTCTGATGATAAACGGAATCGGTCATCCATGTAATAACTTGAAAAAACCTTCAATTTTCAAGGAAAAATCAGTTGAAATGCACTTCCAACGGAAACCTATAAAAAACAGCATGCTCGCGCCTCGCTATGGAATTTTGGACTGCGCATGCACTCGTGCTAGCTTTGTTCTAAAATCGTCAGACCATAAATAGCATCATCCACAAAGAGATAGCCTTTCAGCAATTAGAAAAAGAAATATTTTTATGATAAAGACATTTTGCTCAATGCACACATTGTATACATAGGTCGTTTTGAAGAGAATAGGGGGAAATATGAGAGAAGAGATTGATACGGAAAATGTATTTGACATATTTGATTAATTGCGATTCTAGGATCATCGCCAATTATGAGCACAATGGGGGTGATT